TGCGAGCTGACCATCTTTCTGTCACTTGCGCTGCTTCATCTTGTGGAATTAGTTTCGTCAAGTCAGTTAAAGAAGTATTTTCTTCTTGCAACTTATTATATTTGGATCTTAAATCTTGATAATTTTTCACTTGTACTTGTAGAGGTGTTTTATTTTCAACGTTCTCAATAGACTTAATTACTTGCTTAAGATGAGGAGGTGAAATTATTGTATCACGTCTTGATAAGTCAGGTATGTCGGTTGTATCATGCGGAGAACGAAAAGTACCAATATCAACTAAAAAATTGATCGATATTGCATGTTATAAATGATGATGTATAATGGTTACACAATATACATATATAATATAGCCGTTTATTAATTCAAAATTTGTCCTTGAATGCAAAACATGCAAAATATGTTTGAAGATATATAATATTTGAATGCTAAGAAATAATGTCTACATGAAGAAACTTACTTACCTGTAAAATTGCAAATATAATAACGTAGTAATTATTTCAACATATAATTCACACGTTATGACATAGAAAGAAGTCTTCCTAGGCTTCTTTTTAATATGCATCGTATAACTATAAGAAATGTGCTGACATAAAGTAGTTTGTAAAAATTTACCGTTATTCCATCGTCTAACGAGAACAAAATGAGCAGCGACAACAAGTGCAACACCGACCCCGAACTTGACAGCCACTGCAACCACCATACGTTATTTCTGATTGCTACCCTTTTTATTATAAGAAAATACCATGATTAATACAAAGCCAATGTATACGATGTTGATGTTTTATTCATATGTATATTGTACTAGTTTATACTTATATAAGAATAGATAATTGGCTTATATACTATGAAAAATAAAACGAAATAGGAGCATGGAGGATCGTATACACGTATATGTATATATTTATTGAAAAGTATCGTTAATGTATCTTTTGTTATAGACTATGATTCTCCTTACCACTGGTAGGTTCTTCTTCAACTTGTTCTTCCTCGGATTCACTATCTGCATCATCTAAATTTTCTTCTTCAGCTTCTTCACCTTCTAGCTGAAATAACAACCAAGTAATCAATGTTGAAAGATGATGAAAGGAAAAATAATACGTATATGTACCTCTTCTAGAGGCTCAGCACTGTTATCATCAATCTCATTAACACCAGGTACACGTGGGAATTGCTCAAATACATCATCATTCTTCTCTTCTGCAGAATCGTCAGCTGCCTCTGTGCTAAATTCATCAATATTATTTTCCCTGTCTGCATCTTCGTTCTCATTGGTCTCGTCAACTTCTTCCAATGTGCCATCGAGTGCTCGTACATCGTCGTCGTCATCATTTTCTTCGTCAACTCGATCCTCTAAAGATATTATTTTGACAAAAGAAATGTACAATTTTTTACAACATATCACAATTCACGCACCATCTATCTCATCACCCTCGTCCTCCTCCTCCTCCTCCTCCTGATCTCCTTCCTCCTCCTCCTCCTCATCTCCTTCCTCCTCCTCCTCCTCAACTCCTTCCTCCTCCTCTGCTTCTTCTTCGTCGTCAATTCCTTCTGCGTCTTGTTCTATACTGTCATCTTCCTCCTCAACTTTCTCTTCTTCCTCCTCCGCTTCTTCGCTTAGTTGTAAATTTTCTTCTGGCTCATAGGATGCATCATGATTAAGCGGTGAATCATCTACCCAGCCTTCAAATATACTTGCCCAACGTGACGATGTTATCGGCGTATCAACTTAAACGGTACATAGAAAATGCAACACTTTTAGCAGTCTTTTCTCAAGTTTTATAGTTTTATAGTTAGCGCTGTGCGTACGCGTGTCGAAAAAGTGATTTACCATCTGTAGTCCCTCTATGCTCGAAGATTATTATACCAATTAATCCTGCGAGAAGAGCCAATAAAAGGAAAAATATAATTCGTGCACACCAATGTCCACCCGTGCTGCTCTCTTTATAAATATGAATAGTGACATTCTCGGCACAAGTATCAGCTGGGTTGATCAAAATAGGTGGTGGCGTACCGGTATCCTCGTCATCTAAATGTCATAAATTTTATGTATAAACTTGATTGTGCAGTATTTTCCAAGTATTTCAATAGAGATGTTATCGAGATTGAAATGAAAGAAAAAGAATATAGCTCGAATCTATATATAATGGAGAAATGAGAGATATAGCTGAACAAGCGAGATATGCTTTTGGGCTGGATAATACAGTTTCGTCTATTTTTATGAGCTAAAGATAGGGGTAGGTTGACTCTCGAGCGCGGTAGGGAGCTGCTAAAATTCACATTTTCCAATTGGAATGCCAAATTTTCTTGGGTCAACCGAGACTTTACTCGCTATCCATTGGTTATCTAACAGGCACGTAAATAAATTGCAGTTACTCTTGGAGATAATTTGGATTTGATCGGTCGCGCAATTCTAAACGAAAGACGGCTAGGCCGGCGAGCTCGAGGCCAATGGCTGACACAGACTGACAAGCTGCGGATATTTTTGGAACTTGACAGAGGATCGTCGAAAGAGGATCGAAAGAGGATCGAAAGAGGATCGAAAGAGGATCGAAAGAGCATTATTCTTCCGAACGTTCCGGATTGGAATTGAATAATTGTACGCGAGCGAAAAGGGATCGCCGAGTAACGTAAGACGCAAGGCGACAGTAGGGATAAAAATAAAGGAAATCGCTAAAAATATCGCGTTGCGAAAGTGCTCATTTTTACCTCTCTTACGTCGTTTCTCCTTCCGTTTCCTTGGCTGCACATCGCCGGACATTCTTCGACGAGCGAAGAAACGAGAGAAGAAAGAAATGCGTCAATTTAAATTTTTAAACGTCCAACGTACCACCGCACCACTACTCTAGCAAAATTTGATTCGCGGATCGGGTAGAGATGGTAGATCGCGAGAGCCACATCGGGCTTGGCGCGAAACGTATT